TGACAAGTGGGAAAGACACATGGGGAGCCATGGCCTGGGTGTTAAGGTTTCTGCCCTGATGTGGCGTGTGTCACTTGCACTCAGATTTCACAGTCAGAGAAAGTCACGGGGCCAAGCTGAAATCTGTGAGTCACAGAAGCATGTTGTGAACTGAGTGCACTGTGCCACCGTACAACCCTGGTGGGGCATAAGGCACTCGTCACGAGGCCCTCTGGCTTCCCTTGGGATCTTCTGTCACTAAACCACACCCTCATGGAATTGCTTCTTCCAGAAAATCAATGCCTTTTACCTGGTGCCTCACAGCAGAGCCATTTCCACCTGGTCCATTGCTGCATTCTCATGGCAGGGCCTGGCATGACTGAGCCACTCGTAGCATGGACTGGAACGATAGGGAGCTGGCCTTGCCCTGTGTCCTTGTCCCTGCTGTGTTCACCATGGGTCTCTCCCATGCAGAGAATGCTTTGCAAAAGAGTTGGTGTCCTTGATTCACTGGACCTTCTCCTTGAAATCCTTCCACCTATCCCCAGCCCACCCTACGCCCTGCAGGGGACCATGAGGGCTGTGGGTCAGTCACCCTTGCCACAGGCACAGCTGGAGGCACTAAGGACACTCTGCTCTCATTAAAGCCATAGAATGCAAACGCAGGGACCTTGGAGGAGGACTCCACAGGAGCATCTCCAATGCACACCGGTGCACAGACCATCTCTGCGAGTGACGCATCCTGTCTACCCACTGCTTTCCCATGGGATCCCTCTGGGAGAAGCGATAGAAGAACTCTCAGAGAAAGTAAATCATTCTCAGTTTGTTTAAGTGAACCAAGCAATGAAATACAATCTGCTACGTTTATGGAGGTCTACGCCATCTGGCTCAATGCAGCTTAATGCTTCGGGGCAGGTGACACATGCGAGTTAGGGAGGATGGCCTGTGTCTCTTCTTTAGCAGGGAAGACCGGGGAGCACCACATCAATGGCTCCCCTTGTCCTCAACATGCCGGTCTGCGGTAGCAGCCACCTGGGTGGGGAGCTGGGGTCCATGGGATGGAGCCGGGCATGGCAGGTCGGCTGGTTGGCCCCCTGCATACTACTGTGTCTTGGAAAGAACACTGGGTATTTGAGAGCCACTTCTACCTCTGGCCAGCTGTGTGGCTGTGTGATCTCAGTCCAGTCACTCCCCCTCCCTGGGCCTCAGTTTCTATGCCTGTAAACCGTGCACGGAGGAGGTAAGGAGCAGGGGCCACGGAGCCGGGAAGTCCGGATGATGGATTCACTCAGCTGCTCACTCAGCCTCAGGCTCTTGTCTGCAAGCTGGAATCTCAGGAGTATTTATCAAACACGTGAGCAATTAAGAAAGAGCTCATGAAGTACTTAATTAATTCAGGTCTGGCACCACACAATGCCCAATAAAAACTTCCTAGGAGGAAACAGAAAACTTTTATAACTATGACAAAGCAAAGCTTTGGAGTTGCCGTTTAGCCTGGCAGTTAAGACACCCACTCCGAGTGCTCAGGGTCGAGTCCCAGCTCCGGCTCCTGACTCCGGCTTCCTGCCAGTGCAGACCTGGGACACAGCAGTGAGGGCTCAGATAATTGGGTTCTTGCCACTGCCATGCAGGACCTGGATTGCATTCCCAGGCTGTGACTCTCACCCCACTCCAACCCTGGCCGTTGGTGGAATTTGGAGAGGGAATCAATGGATGGGAGCACTTGATCTCTCTCTCTCTCTCTCTCTCTCTCTCTCTCTCTCTAACAATAATAAAGCTCTATAAATATTGGATATATCTATAAAATATCCTTGACTGGGCCTGGGTTATTCTGTAACCAGCCTTGCCTCCAAACCTTCCCTGTAGGTCTCCCCCATGCCCTCACGCTAGGCTTCACTCTATACCTCTCTCCCTCTATCCAGATATGTTTGGAGAGGAATTTATAGTCCTCTCCTTCCCTGGTCTGAAGTGTTCACTGTAGTGTGATTTCTGTAGGAACAGCAAAGGGTTTCGCCAAAACAAAGGCCCTGACATGGTAGAGTTTCATACCCTTCCCAAATGCATCCCAGTTCCCCTTCCCAAACGCATCCCAGTTCCCCTGGACCCTGGAGGAGGCCTGGCTGCTCTGTGTGATGGCCGAGCTCGTCCCAGCAGCCGAAAGTGCACACACCTCTGCAGGGGCTCCTGCTGGACTGTGTCGGTGTCATTGGCTTGAGTGAGACGTGGAGCCCTGAATACTCATCCTGTGTCTCTCTGGCCGCCCCCGGTTTCGGGAACTGATGCACACTCTGTGTGTGCTGCAGTCACCCCTGACTTCACACTGGGCAAATCCTGGTGCCCAGCTCCGCTGACTAATTGGGCCAAAGAGGCTGCTGGGGAAAATGAGCTTTTTGCAAAAAGCCATCATCTCCTGCTTCCAAACCACTCACAGATCTCTGCCTGCCACCACCTTGATTGATGCCTTTCGTCACACATACCGAAGGAGGGTGAAGGCTTTGTTGGTTATTAAAACCATAGTGTGAATTAGTTTATCAGATACGTACAGGGGTACCAATCCAGGAGCTAGGAGCATGGGATGAGAACAGGTATGACGAGAAGTGTGGGGAGTAGAACGGAGGCCAGATGGGCAAGCTCCTCTGAACACTGGCTAAGTTAGCAGAAACATCTCATGGGAGCCCTGGGTGAGAGCAAACACTTTCATAAATATTAGCTGAGAGCCTACTCAGTGTCAGGCGCAGTGCTGGGCAAAACCCCTAGGAAATCCTATGTAAGCCACCAACTCTACCTGTATTTCCCTCGATAAGCACAAGCTAAGCATGAACGTGAATGGGGAGACTTGCGTCTCCCACTGTGTTAGTGTTTCAGTACTTTAAAAACACCAGAAGGGTGATCTGGCTGGCAGTTTTGGAAGTTCACAGTCTGAGACTGGGCAGCCCCATGGCTCGGGCAGCTGATTGGCAGTGGTGGAGCCCGTGCAGAGGAACTACCACTTGGTAATCAGGAAGCACGAGAGACAGGAAGCACGCTCCCCCTCCATGACCATGCGCTCCTCTTTGTGAAGCTCTCATGATTCCATCATGGACGTAATCATTGGACCTAATCCAATCCCACCCCCCACTTCCCAGAGGCCCCACCTTCAGACGCCGTCCTTGGATCCAGCCTCCACCCTAATCCCTCAATCTCCAGCATTCATCCGTTAACCATTAACAGTAGACTTTGGGGTTTAAATGTCCCTAAGAATTTAGGGAGCTGAATCCAATTCAAACCCTACCACCCACTTTCTCAGCCTGCAGAGTTGTGGAAGCCTCTCCCAGGGTGAGCCTCTCACAGGGCAGAGCAGAGCATCTGGGCTGGGGGGGTACATGTTTCCCACCAGGCAGAGCTTTCCTTTGCAAGTCAGTGGGGAGAGGCCTGATGATTCGCTCCAAGGCTGGAAGGAAAACCGGCCGGGTTGAACCTCTGCCAAGTGTATTGGTTTCCAATGCGGTGCCTCCCCTGAAGGATTTTCAAGAGCAGTTTCAGCTGCAGATTTTCCGTGGTTGGTGACTTTGAAACCCAATCCCTGAGGAGAGTTGAGGCTCTGGTATACGGAAGTCAAAAATTCAATGATCCTAGACAAATGGCAGGTAATGCACATAACCACCGTCCATTAAACCTTTCAGCTTATGACTGAGTGGTTGGTGCTGTGCCAAGGAATAGGCCCGTGCACCCAGCCCCCACCCAGGACCCTCCTTAATCTCCCTGGTTTTGTTTTTTTTTTTTTTTTGCTTTGTATTTTAAGATTTATTTATTTATTTTGAAAGAATACAGAGAAAGAGAGAGAGAGAGATTTCATCTGCTGATTGATTCCCCAAGATGGCCACAACTACCAGGGCTGAACAAGGTCAAAGCCAGGAGCCAGGAACTCCACCTGGATCTCCCGCGTAGGAGGCAGGGGCCCACAAGCACTTTGACCATCTTCCACTGCCTTCCCAGGCCATCAGCAGGGAGCTAGATCAGAAGTGGAGCAGCTGCACCACCAACGGCACTCATGGGATACCAGCATTGCAGGTGGCAGCTTTAACCGCTGCACCACAGCGCTGGTCCCCAGACTCCCTGTTTCTTACTACTTGAATATAACAGGAAGTTCCTGATCCTCCTCCTTCTCACCTGCTCCTGTATGGAGCAGAGGATGTGGAGAACTCTGTCTTTGAGCCTCTATGGGCAGCTAATGGAGGCCCATGGATCCTCCCGGTGGGGCAGTCAGAATTCTCTCCAGGCCAGCCAGTCTCTCACCTCAACCCTGCCCTCTCCAAAGCTGTTGATGTGATTCTAATGCACAAATCTGCCCATAGCACTTGTACTACTTCCAGCCAACCGGTCTTCCTGCTCTGGGTCAGATTCAAGTGCCTGTGTTCTCAGCCACTGGAGCATCTGGCCTCAACGAATGGTGGTACAGAAGTGTGTTGAGTGTGAAGTGGCTCACATGCCTGCCCAAGGGATCAGGACCTGGGACCTTCCTGTCACAGCCCTGACCTCAGTTGTGTTGCCACATTGACCCTACCCTCTCCAAGTCAGGAACTGCGTCTCATTCCCTTTCATGTGGCAGCGTTAGCAGAGGGTGTTAGCACTGGTTGGTGCCTACTAAATGGATGACAGGTGAATGGATGGGTGGTTGCATGGATGAGTCAGTCTGGGCATCCAACTCAAACCTTGGCTTTCCCTAGGAAATTTCTCTGCAAATAAAAGCCCCTACGCTTCTCCCCATTCTCTAAACTCCTCCAACACCTGTTCTTTGTATCGTAGTTCACACCCTGATGTGCCTCGTGCAGCACTTTTGTGTGTAATTTGCTAGTGCTTCCCCAAGCAGACGATAAGCAGCTCAGGGACTGGGATGGTGACTGACGCCTCTCTCTCCAAGTTTTCCAGCTCAGGGCTAGGCACAGGCCTCTGAATAAGTGTGCTGTGTGCTCCATCCTGACCCAGGAGCAGGTCACAGAGCAATGACCCTCTGCTCACTCTCTCTCCCCTGCCCACGACAGGAGCCTCCTCCGGCATCATCGACCTCCTGCCATCCCCCAGTGCTGCCACCAACTGGACCGCAGGACTGCTGGTGGACAGCAGCGAGATGATCTTCAAGTTTGATGGCCGGCAGGGCGCCAAGATCCCTGATGGGATTGTGCCCAAGAACCTGACGGATCAGTTCACCATCACCATGTGGATGAGACATGGCCCTAGCCCCGGTGTGAGAGCCGAGAAGGAAACCATCCTCTGCAACTCAGATAAGACCGGTGAGTCTCTGGCCTGGCACCCTTCGGTACAGACACACTCTGCAGGATGTGGGAGAAAAGCAGCAGCATGAGGGCAGCCCGGGGAATATATTCTGGTCTCTGATTTGTTTTTTCATTGCTTCTTTGATGGTCCCAGGAGAAAGCAGGAACAGGAAAGATGGAAAAGTAGAGGCATAGATGCAAAGAATGCATTTATTTAAAAAAGTATTTATTTATTTGAAAGAGTAATAGAGAGAAAGAAGGGAATAGAGAGAGATCTTCCAGCTGCTGGTTCACTCTGCAGATGGTCACAATGACTGGGGCTGGGCCAGGTGGAAGCCAGGAGCCTGGAACTCCATCAGGGTCTCTACCTAGGTGGCAGGTGTCCAGCACTTGGGCCATTATCCCTGCTTTCCCAGGTGCATTAGCAGTAAGTTGGATAGGCAGTGGAGCAGCCAGGACTTGACCCAGTGGTCAGATATGGGATGCAGGTGTTGCAAGGCATGGCTTACCCCACTGCACCCCAATGCCTGGATTAGTGGTTTTCACACTGGGTTCCTTGGAACCCTAGCACACCCAGAAGAATCTTAGGGCTGCTATAGGAGGTGCTGATGTGAGATGAAGCTTCATCCTCACTTCAAGCAGAGAAGCCTCATCTTTAATGTGTGATAAGGAAGGTTTCCAAAAACCCTTGGAATAAAAGCCTGAACTTAAAACAGTGGCTGGAAAATCACCACCCTGTGTAACAACAGTCACCAGTCTTGTTAGACATGTATCGCATATCGAGACCGTCTGTGCAAGTCACGGCGTGGTGGTTAGTGCTCCATAACTTAATAGCTGTGTGACCTTGGGCACATGCTGCACCCTCTCTGTGTGTCCCTTTCCATCTGTGAAATGGGCAGCATGGTGTTAACTTCCTCATAGGGTTGTGATGAGGATTAAATGAGTTGATAGACATGCAGTGCTGAGAACAGTGCCTGGCACGCAGGAATTAGCAGTCACTGTTCTATACAGTTTTCTCACTTCTACAACTTTATGAAAGCATTGTTGCATTTTCCGAGTTAAGGATAACAAGCAAACATCAGTGAGTAGCCAAATAACTTGTCACAAGTAGTTAAACAGCTAGCAAGTTTCAGAACTAGAACGGCAACGTAGTGCAGCTAAATCCACATCCTTTGCTCTGGTGCACACACATACATGCACGCACACACATGCATGCACACGTGCATGTGTGCACACACACGCAAGCACAAACATGCACGCTCACACACATGCACAGACATGTGTGTGTACACATGCACACGTGTGCACACACACTCACTGAGGCCATAGGCAAAATTCACAACTCTGATTACAGTTGCACAATTTCCCGTTTCAAGTACTACACTACTTTAGTTAAATTTCCCAAACAAAACAGCCACCACAGCAACTATAATATTAAGAAGCTGGTGCAGAAGAACGGCTGACAACTCAGCTCTCGGCTTGACGGCTCCTGAAGGTGTGACCGGGGAAAGTACTAAGTCTTTCTGAGCCTCAGTTTCCCACGTGCAAAGAACGAAAGTAAACAGGAGACGAAGCATTAAGTCACTTAGCCGCATCAGGCCCATGATCAGTGCTCTGTTGAGTTACCTGATGCTGTCCTTGTCCTCATCACCTCTGTTTTTTTCCTACTTTTCAGTGCTACAGGAACTCCCACATTCCCTGTTTCAATCGATCTTCACCATAAATACTGATATATGTCCTGGACGTAGAAACTGAGATGCAGATGCCTGCCGTTGCCCTTGTCATGTGATGGGTCTGTGTAGGGGTCAGTGCCAAGGGCAGGTTTTCTGAGACATTCATGCAGGAAGGACCCCGCACACCTGCCAGGGGTGGCGCTGGGGTTCAGGGCCGTGCTCAGTGACCAGGAGTGTGGGGCAACTAGTGGACTGCTCCCATCAGGATCTTGGAGCTGAATCTCAAGGAGGCAACAGCTCAGGGATGTGCAGACCAACGCAAAGCAGCCAAGCTAGGATCAGCAGCTGCACACACAGAAGCCAAAAAATGTGCAGAGAAAGAAATTAAAAGAGGAATTTATTTTGGTGCAGAGACAAATTTGAAATCCAGGCACAGTTTTCTCAGAATATGCATTTCCATGAACTTTTTGAAGACCTACATATAGTGCTTTCTGAGATGTAGCAAGCACTCCTGGGAGGTGGGACAGCCAGAGACAGATGCTAGTGCGTACGGCCAAGGCAATTGGAATGTGGCAGGTTGAGGGACTGGCCCAGGACAGCACAGCCAGTTACCAAGAACCTGGATCCTCTGGCTCCATGTTCCCAGCCCAGACTAGAGCACCAGAGGTTGTTGTTAGAATAAGCTAGTGCATTTGTAAAAATATGTAGATACCAGAGTCCCACCTCAGCTCAATGAGCCAGGATCTCAGGGAGCTCTCTTGGGCAGCCACAGCTGGCAACTCTGCCTTCACCCATGAGGCCCCCTGTCATCACTGCAGATCTGCCAATGGCCATTCCAGCTCCACAGGTGGCGAGACCTGTGCTGTGCAGTTTGGCCCTTGCATAAGATCACACTTTACAACTTAGAGGAGACGGGCAGATTTTTCTCTAATTTCTCAGACTTAAAAAAAAAAAAAAAAGCTCTAAATATCTCCTTGTCCTTAATAAAATCAAAAATATCAAGAATAACTCAAAGCTTGATTTGGGACTTTTTAAATATCAAAACCTTTTCAAGGTATAAAAACAACATTTGTTTACAGCAGAAATGTGAAAAATACAGAAAATATAACAGAGAATTCATAAACCACCTAAAATCCTGACACTTGGGGGGATATTGTCTGATAACATTTTGTGCATTTCATTGGGACGTTATTTTTATATCCATGCATATGGAGACCATCCTTAGAGTTTTCAATATATTTTTATAATACGTGTGATGCTATTATCTTCTTCCTTTATGTAACCATATCCAGATAATTTTTCTATGTGATAAAATATTCCTTAAAAACGTGAATTAGATGGCAGTGTAGAATTCTGCCATATGGATTTATCACACCTCATTTAACTGGCCCCTTTTTGTTAAATATTTAGATTGTCTCCTTTTAAGTACAAATAAAACAGTGCTGTAGTGAGTGTTCTTGGATGTGCCTTCTGGGCATCTCTGCTGCTTTCCTGACCAGAAATGTTAGGAAAGCTATTAATGTAAAATTGTCAAATCGCCCTTCGTAAGATTGCATTAATTGCTGTTTGCTACACCGAGTGAAGCTTATTAATGCAGATCCATAATGAAGTAATTTATAAATAGTTGTGTAAAAGAATTGACTAGCCAGCAAAGGCTAATTGTGGGAGAGAGAGAGAGAGAGAGAGAGAGAGAAGGAGGGAGGGAGGGAGGGGCAACACCCTGGGAGGCTGACACTCTTTCCTCGTGGCGTTCCCTCCTGTCCTTGTGCAGGAGCCCTGCTGTGCATCTGTGCTTCGCCCAGGTGTTCAGAGGCCAGGAGCCCTGTATCATTTGGCACCGCCCTTTTTCACCACCGACCATAAAGCTAGAGCTGCGCATGGAAGGCCTGTGTTGGTGAGCACAGAAGATGGCAGCTCTCACCTCTGACTGTGTTCCACCTGCCAGAATGCGGCCACATTGCCCCCACCTAACACAGGAGAGGCTGTGACATGGGCATTGGTCGCTGAGTGTGCCTAGGAGCTGAGGACATGGGGTTCGGGGTTTGAGGAATGCATGGCAGTGTCTACACCGTGAGGACATTGTGTGCGTCCCTGTGCCCTGCACCCCCACTTCCGTTGGTCCTTCTTCTCCGGGCCCTTTCTTCTTTCAGTTGCTTTTCCTGATTTCTCCCCAGCACTTGCCCCCTCTCAGTAACCCCCCCCCCAGCACCCACCTGCTGCTCCTGCTGGGGCTCCTTGCCCCTGGTGTGTAGCCCTCCTACTACTGCTGGGGTTCCCTGAGATCAGTGAATGACACGTGGCTCACATACTGCGTCCCCACAGGGCTTTCCAAGAGACGGAGGCCACCCTTGTCCTGTAATCAGCGGGCATGGTGGAGGTGTCAGCTTGGTGGAAGGTGCTAGAATGGCCCCCTGCCTGCAGGGAAAGGGAGGTGATGCTCCCACACCCCAGAGGCACCCACAAACATCACTGGGAAGAGTTGGGTTGTCTGCTGGGGGTGAGGGGCTCACTCCAGGCTGGTGTCAAGGCAGATCCCAGGCGAGACCTGGGGCAGTTTAGCTCCCGGGCTCAGGAGAACAGGGAGTGTGAAAGCCGGGACCTGACTCTTGTCCAGGTGTCTGAGGTCAGTGCCTCAGTGCAGGGTGGGGAGAAGGACAGTGGGGAGAGCGGCTTTAGTGACAATCTGGCAGGGCACAAGGGGTTTTCTTCTTGTGCTTGTGCCACATGGCCCTCCAGAGTTGGGCTCGAGGCCGGAGGGCTGCCTGCCAGGAGAACCCAGCAGCAGGAGTGGATATGGGCCTGGGAGAGGACTACCAAGAGAGGCCAGGAGCTGGGGAGGAATCAGGAAAGTTCAGCCGGAATGGAGAGGTAGGGGCCAAACAGAAACGGGGTTACAATCAGCATAAAAGTCCCAGCCATCCAGAAAGGGACCGTCATTCATGATGTCACTTCCAGATTCAGGATTTAGAGCAGGGCCAGCCTTCCTGGGGGGATGGTAGGGAAGGTGGCAATCTGGAGTCTCTGCAGAGCCTCTCCACAAACCAACCCACGCACCCTCGGAGGGACCCATAGGTAGACACCTGCCATGACACAGGACTTACAACATTCATGAGAAAGTTGTGAACTCCACCGGCTTTTGAAAAAGACTCTATGCTGCTTTCCTCTTTATCTGCTTCCCTCGCCTCTGACCATGACCAGAGCTAGGAGGAAATTGGGGACTAAGGGGTGGAACAAGGAGACTAAAGGCACGGGCCTTACCCCACGCCTCCCTGCTGTTGGCTGCAGAGCTGTGGGTCGAGGCTGAGTGGAGGCAGGGTTGCATCTTGTAATCAGATGCGATGTCTGATGTGTGGCTGGATTGGCCTCCTCAAGACTGTTCCAACATCTACAGTGATAGGAAGGCTTGAGGATCTGCCAGAGATGTGGATAGAGAGGAGGGAAGGAGCTTCCTGAGGAACTCTTAAGGACAGGAAAGCAAGGCGGTGGGCTCCCGAGCCTGTCTCATCAGCAGTGCACTGTGTACACCAGGGGCCTGGCGTGTGCTTGGACCCCAGGGGTCAAGTCACAAGAAAGGGACAGGAGCTGCCCAGGCTGGAGGGTGTTCCCAGCAGGAGTCTCTCTTCTTTCCTGGCCCCTCCTCTACCCCAGCCTCCCTGTCTCCAAATACAAACAAAGGCAAAAATGTTTTCTTTCTATACAAAGGTACTTCCAAAAAAATCATGGAGAAATGGAATTAAAAGATAAGTTTATTTGTATGCAAAAAATTGGAAATGCATGCAAATTTTTTCATGATATGAGTTTTCCATGAACTTTGTGAGGACCTTTAATTTTTTTTTTTTTTTTTGGACAGGCAGAGTTAGAGACAGAGAGAAAGATCTTCCTTCCGTTGGTTCACTCCCCAAATGGCCGTTACGGCTGGCGTGTTGCACTGATCCAAAGCCAGGAGCCAGGTGCTTCTTCCTGGTCTCCCATGCGGGTGCAGGGCCCAAGCACGTGGGCCATCCTCCACTGCCTTCCCGGGCCACAGTAGAGAGCTGGACTGGAAGAGGGGCAACTGGGACAGAACTGGCTCCCCAACCAGGACTAGAACCAGGAGTGCCGGTGCCGTAGGCGGGGGATTAGCCAAGTGAGCCACAGCACCGGCCCATATGTTCATTTTTTTAAAAACAGTCTTTATTTATTTGAAAGAGAAAGAGAGAGAGAGAGATCCTCCATCTCTAGTTCACTCCCCAGATGTCCACAAGAGCCAGGACTGGGCCAGGCCAAAGTCAGGCTTCCAGAACTGCATCTCCCATGTGGGTTGCAGGGACTCAAGAACTTGAGCCATCTTGCATTGCTTTCCCAGGCTCATTAACTGGAAGCTGGATTGGATATGGAGCAGTTGGGACTTGAACCAGTGCTCCAATATAGGATGCCACTGTCGCAGGCAGCAGCGTACCCTCCTGCACCACAACCCCAGTGCCCCCTCATATTTTCCTTTTCTTTAAGATTTATTTATTTATTTGACATAGTTATAGAGACAAAAGGAGAGGTATATAGAGAGCTTCCATCTATGGTTCACTCCCCAAATGGCCACGGCTGGGCCAAGACAAAGCCAAGGGCCAGGAGCTTTATCCAGGTCCCCACATGGGTGGCAGGGGCTCAAGCACTTGGGCCATCCTCTGCTGCTTTCCAAGGCCATTAGCAGGGAGTTGAATGAGAGGTGGAGCAACTGGGATATGAACCAGTGCCCACATGGGATGCTGGCATGGCAGGCGGTGACTTTATCCACTATACCAAAACTCTGGCCCTTCCTCATATTTCCTAACAGATTTCAATATAAATTATATGGGACCATCTCTCTAATGGTGGGAGGAACAAAAATACATAGTAAAATCCAATGGCCAAGCTGTGGGTGTTTTGCCAGGGGCTCAGAGTGATCACCCAGACACTGGCCTGGATAGGCCCCAGCACACTTGACAATAGATGGTCTCCTTCCTGCCACTCTTTGGTGACATCCTTGTGGGAAAACAGCCCCTGGCACGCCCTGGCCGCACTGCTGTGGTCACGAAGCAGGGTAATCGCCCTCCTAACAGCGAAGAGCTATTGAGCATCTGCCCTGCACAGATGTTTTGCATGCATCTCCTCATTATTATCAATTAAAATGCTTTCACTGGCCAGTGCTGTGGTGCAGTAGGCTAAGCCTCTTCCTGTGGCACCAGCATTGCGTATGGGTGCTGGTTCGTGTCCCAGCTGCTCTACTTCTGACCCATCTCTCTGCTATGGCTTGGGAACTAAGTAGAAGGTGGCCCAAGTACTTGGGTCCCTGCACTCACATGGGAGACCCAGAAGGAGCTCCCGGCTCCTGGCTTCAGATTGGCTCAGCTCCGGCCATTGTGGCCATCTGGGGAGTGAACCAACAGATGGAAGACCTTTCTCAGGGCCGGCGCCGTGGCTCACTAGGTTAATCCTCCACCTGCAGCACTGGCATCCCATATGGGCACCGGTTCTAGTCCGGCTGCTCCTTTTCCAGTCCAGCTCTCTGCTGTGGCCCGGGAGGGCAGTGGAGGATGGCCCAAGTGCTTGGGCCCCTGCATCTGCATGAGAGACCAGGAAGAAGCACCTGGCTCCTGGCTTCAGATTGGCGCAGTGCCAGCCGTGGCGGCCACTTGGGGAGTGAACCAACAGAAGGAAGACCTTTCTCTCTGTCTCTCTTTCTCACTGTCTATAACTCTACCTGTCAAATAAAAATAATGATAAAAAATAAAATAAAACGAAGACCTTTCCATGTGTCTCTCCCTCTCCCTGTAACTCTACCTCTCAAATAAATTTACAAACCCAGAACTCTCCCACAGCAGCTGGTGGGACTGGCAGAAGCCCCCTGACCCTCCTACAAATGTCAGCAATGCCAACAACAGCAAAGAGCCCCTTGACCTACGTGGTGTCCACCCGGAGCCGATGCAATTGCGGAGCCTCAGCTTGGCCAGTATTTAAAGCCCAACAGGATTCTCCGCACTTTTGCTGTAGGCTCTCCCGAGTCGTCTTCTTCCATCTCAGTGAGCTCCACACGTGTTCTAGAACGTTTTTGATCAGAACCCACTGGACGGCCCCGTGGCTTTGCCCTGCCGAGCTGTGCTCAGAGGTGGAGCAGCAGAGGCGGACACAGGGGGCTCTCTCACTCCCCCACCCCTCCTTCTGCTTTTCAGAAATGAACCGGCACCACTACGCCCTGTACGTGCACAACTGCCGCCTCGTCTTCCTCTTGCGCAAGGACTTCGACCAGGCCGACACCTTTCGCCCTGCAGAGTTCCACTGGAAGCTGGACCAGGTAAGGCTCTCGCCTCACACCTGCCCCTGCTCACACCTTTGCAGGAATGGGCAGTTTGCTCCCGGTGTGGCGATGGCAGCTGGTGGGGACCTCAAGGTCCCGGTCTTTTGCCCATTTGTGGAATGATCAGCTCAGGGGGACACCCAACATCTTAAAGTCAGGATGGAAAGTGTTTTCTGAAAGCCCACTGGAGGTAAGGGTGGGGTGCACTTCCCAGCTGGGTCGCGGCAGGGTGGCAGGTGTACCGCGTCTGCCTCATCGACTTGCTCGGCGTCGAGCTCGTGGGACACTGGCTCTCCCGACTCCTGGGCCTGTGTTGTGATCTTCATGCACGCCCCATGTCTGCCCTTTGATGCCTGGCTGCTTCCTTTGGGTGATGGTGAGCTTGCTTCTGGTGACACCAGCTTGAGGACAGACACCCGGCGGTTTTGAAGTAAGCGGTGACAGCGCTGGCACGGGCTTCTCATCACAGAGGCCACCGTGTCACATGTGTCGACGACAAATCCCGGTTTGCATCCAGCGTTTTGTAGTGTCTGCTTCCCGGGGCTATGCAGCATTGGGACAATGGAGGTGGCGCTCACCTCTCTGGGTATGGGCACTCAGCCTGGAGGTGGCCTGGGCTGTAATGTGAGAGAGGCCAGGAGTGGGTTTTAAATTATCCAGAGGTCGGCCCCGTCTCAGCTGGTGCAGGCATCCCAGGGGTTTAGTAAGTGAACCAGTGAACAGGGAGCTCTGTCTAGCTCTCCAAAAAACAAATGGGTTAAATGACCAAGAGGCCGTGTGTCGGCAGCACAGAGCAGGTGCAGCTTAAGGAAACGCTGGGAAGGACGCCCGCTGGGTGACCCGCGCCACCTGGGTGATTTGCTTCCATTCTGCCCCACCCACGTCCTGAGCTGAGTGCTTCCAGGAGCCTCGGTCGTCTTCTCTTCCCCCAAAGCCTGCTGTCTGTAGCCCCTGCCTCTCCTGGTCTGGGCGTCACAATGCCTTCTCATCTCCCTCCCTACTTCTCCTCCTCCGCTCCAGCCTGACCCCACTGCGGCTGCTCTCAGAGAGAACTGATTCACCTGGCGCTGGGGGTGAGGCCTCCCCGTTTATCCTCACGGAGGGCCACACAGGGGCTCTGGGAAGCAGAGAGTCATTGCTAGGACGCTCTCTCAATGGTGCCACCTCCTGGCAACATGACAAGACCCAGGGTACCAGGCTGATGGGAAAGTGGAGGAGCCCGGTGGCAGCAGCTTACCCTGCTCTCCCTTGGTCCCACCCCGCCGCATCCAAAGCCTCTGCAAAGATAACACCTGGCCTCATGTGTGCTCCTCGGAGCCCGGAAGGCCAGCTCCTGCAGGAACGAAGTCTTGACACTGTTCACATGATGTCTCAGCAAACTCTCAGCCAGGTCTTAAAGTGCCAGATGGCTTTGATGGGATGTTTTCAAATATATAACACAAATGGAAGCGAATTAAAATGAATTCCATATTGTGATTTTAATAAGAACATTGCCACACTGGCTGAGATCATTCTAGATGCCCTGCGGCGTTTTCTGAGATGCGGTTGAGAAACACAGATCCAGGCAGATGAAGTCACGGGGTTTGAAATTAAAAACAGGCAAAGAGGGAATTTTGGTTCTGCCCAGAGAGAGAAGTGAATCTAGCTGTTCTAAAGCCTGTTCCTATAGTGGTGAATTTAAGGAGGACTGAGTCTCCCAGAATGCCTTCCACACTACCCCCTGTCTCACTGACAGCTGCCAGGGCCTGTGCTGTGCCAGGCAGACAACCCAGCTGTGCCCAGTTCTACTCAGTAATCCCAGGAAGCCCAGGCCCAGGACCCAGCCCCAGGTCACCCAGGACTAGCACCCACCCTCTCTGTGATGCTATGTGGCTACTTTAATGAGCTTGCCAACTAAGATGTGAAGCATTTACATTTTTTAATTTAAATAATTGAGGCCAGTGCTGTGGTGTAGTGGATTAAGCCACCTCCTTCAATGTTAGCATCCAAAATGGGCACCAGTTCAAATCCCAGCTGCTCCGCTTCTGATCCAGCTCCCTGCTAAAGACCTAGGAAAGCAGTAGAAGATGGCCCAAGTGCTTGGGCCCCTGCACCCACATGGGAGATGTAGAAGAGGCTCCTGACTTTGGCCTGGCGCAGCCTTGGCCATTGCAGCCACTTGGGGAGTGAACCAGCAGACAGAGATTGCTCTTCCCCGCCCCCACCCCATAACTCTGCCTTTCAAATAAGTAGATCTTCAAAAAAACATTGAATAACTTAAATTTAGAGACCAGGATGGGCCAGCGCCGTGGCTCAATAGGCTAATCCTCCGCCTGCAGCACCGGCACACTGGGCTCTAGTCCCAGTCGGGGTGCCAGATTCTGTCCCGGTCGCTCCTCTTCCTGTCCAGCTCTCTGCTGTGACCCAGGAGTGCAGTGGAGGATGGCCCAAGTGCTTGGGCCCTGCACCCCATGGGAGACCAGGAGAAGCACCTGGCTTCTGGCTTCGGATCAGCATGGTGCGCCAGCCGCAGCGCGCCAGCTGCAGCGGCCATTGGGGGATGAACCGATGGAAAAAGGAAGACCTTTCTCTCTCTCTCTCTCACTGTCCACCCTGCCTGTCAAAAAAAAAATTAAATAAAAACAAATAAAAAATTAAAAAAAATAGAGATCAGATGTTCACTGAAATGCAAAATGCCCGTCATCCTGACAAGCCCTAAGAAACAGTCAAATCTACGTGGCTCGGGCTCTGTCTCCCTCCTCGACTTACTCTGCTCCGGCTGCCACACAGAGCGCACGTCTGGGCCCTTACACAGCAAAGTTCCCCTTTCTCACACTTGAGGAGGCCGGGAAGTCCAAGATCACGGTGCCTCCCAGTGGAGTCCCGCTGAGGGCTCTTCCTGGCCCGTGCATGGCCTCCTCACAGCCATGTCCTCACGGGGCAGCAGAGAAAGCTCAAACCAGACCTGTCACATTAGGATCCCAACCATAACTGAACATTAATTCCCTCCAAATATATTAGGGTTAGAGTCTCAAGGTGTGAATTTGGCCAGGGACACGATTCAGTCCCGAGCGTTCCTGTAACAAAGAAGTGAACGTGAGGGGCTGGCGCTGTGGCGCAGCGGGTTAATGCCCTGGCCTGAAGCGCCAGCATCCCATATGGGTGCCAGTTCGAGACCCGGCTGCTCCACTTCCTGTCCAGCTCTCTGTAGAAGATGACCCAAGTCCTTGGGCTTCTACACCCGTGTGGGAGACCCAGAGGAAGCTCCTGGCTCCTGGCTTCGGACCACTGCAGCTCCAGCTGTTGCGGCTAATTGGGGAATGAACCATCAGATGGAGGCCCTCTCTCTTTCTCTCTCTCTCTCGCTCTCTCTGCCTTTCCTCTCTCTGTGTAACTCTGACTTTCAAGTAAAATGAATAAATCTTAAAAAAAAAAGAAGTGAACATGAACATACTTGAAGACTGCATGCTCATAGCCGGAGGCCCAGCTTGCCTGGACAACTGCCGCCCTCTACAGGAAGCCACAATGCACAGGGTGAGGGGACCCTCGGTGACACCTGTGCTAGCAGTCAGGTAGTGTTTAGAGAGCAGCCCTCAGGTTCTTCTCCTTATTCAGCTCCCTGTGTGGGCAGAATCTGACCACAAGTTTCAGGGATGCAAACTGCTTGATGCCTAGAATGTGCATGCCTGTTAAGGCCTCTTCCCCCAGGAAGCCCTCCTGAATGGCCCCTCAGCTCTCCACTCCACATGCAGAGCTCCATTCTAGCGCACACTGGGCAGTGGTTGCCCGTGCATCCTACCTATCTGCTGGATGCACTGAGCATCTGGAGGGTGGGGCTGCGTCTCACCCATCTCTGACTTCAGTTTGTGTTGCAGCCTTGTGCACACAGCATAGGGGGTGCCTGGTCAAGCTTTGCGTAGCCTTGTGGTCGAGGGACAGAAGGAGAGAAGAAAAGCCCAGAGATCTTTGCAGTCTTCCTGGCGATTGGTGGATCTGTTGGTTGACGTCACTGAGCATTTTTACGTTTCCTAAATGTTGCCGTCCTTCTACTCTTTGAGTTGCAAGCTTGTTTTGTCCTTGCTCTTGACATCTTATCTCAAAGAGCCAATGGGATTTGCCACCAAGGAACCTGTAACCGTGTGGCCAAGGCCAGAAGGGCCTCAGGCCAGTCGAATGCACCAAGTGTGTTCAGACTGCTGGTCCACCTCGGGGATTCCACAGACGCTTTCTCTGCTCTATGCCTTATGGGAACTCACTGATGTCTTCAATCGGCAGCTTATTCTGAGTACAAGAAAGTGAGCCAGGCTCTGTGCAGTGAGCCTGGGCTGAGCCACTCAGAGAGGAGCCTCTGCCTTCTGCAGGTTGCCGTGACCGTGGGTCAGAGACCAGTTACAAACACTGCAACAGGTGCTGGGGCAGAAGGCCCTAGGGGGCAGCTGGGGGCAGCTGGGGGAGCCCATGCAGCAGCACCTGACATGGACACGTACTAGGTGGTAAGAGCCTGGGAAGGCCTGTGGGAGGGGACATGTGGACAGCAGAAAGAGCTCCCTGGCCCAGGACCGGACAGCCAAGGTGGCAGAGCGGTGAGCAGGAGGGCTGTTTCAGCTTTGAGAGAGGCAGGGCCTAGCGTGGGGCAGGAGGGAAGACGCTGGCAGGTCCAAGGACATAAGTGCAGAAGAGCAAATGGAAATGACCATCCCAAGAGGCTTTTTCTATCACGTTATTGAGCGGGTCCTTTATCCCTAGAGAAACGGGACACAACAGAAGCAGCTGTAGTTCAGTGGGAGACTTAGGAAGCTAGGGGTGGACAAGTGTGACAAATGCTGCCATGGATTCATCCTGTGTCTCATGAGTGCGCCAATGCAACTCAGGCCGGGCATTCAGTGGGCCCAGTGACAGGAGCTGCGTCAGAACCAGGGTCTCCCCCATCCTGTCTCCACAGCCAGAACAGAGCCCCACTCGAGGCAGGCGGGCTTGCACAGCTGGCTCCCCATGGGCATCCAGAGGAGTGGGACAGC